ATAGCACCTACATTGACAACGATCATTACCGAATACGGTAGGGCAAGCGAGCTAATATTCAGCTGAGAAAGTGTGACAAAGGTGCTGAGAATTACTAGACGCAGGATACAAAACTATTCGCGTTTATGGCAACTCAAGTTTGCATGGCTACATATCCGTAGGGTAGTTACTATTATATATGCATCACCAGTTACATAATGGCCTCCGACGCGCATGCGTGCGTATAAGAATGTAATTATAGCGTAGGGCGTAGTCGTTGGTGCAGGACTAGCAAGCAGCAAAGAAGAAGAAATTCAACGCTGTCGTAAAAAACCTGGATATATGCGGCGCCGTGAAAAAAAAAATGGGAAAAGGGTGACGCCACGCATAGTAAGTATTAAATTTTAGAAGTAGAGTTGCATAAAATTGTCACATGCGTTGCATAGTAAATGCTGCACTCTCGTGAATGCTGTTTATTTCACCTTGCTTATAGAAAAAATATTATTAATGTAGTTGTTTACTAACGTGATGTGGCCGGAATTCTCGCTTAGGTTCGAAGTCTACGAGGTTGCATTACCATGAATTGCTATACCTAATCCAGAAACATTTTCGACAAAAACTCTCGCTATGTAGATATTGAAGCGCTTTTTCATCGGATCGACGGATATTAATGAAGTAACGAGTGCCGTGAACACAGTTGTTGTTCGTTGCGATGGCTGTCGTCTTGGTATTTGGAAAGGTTTTTTATCGTAAGCACCACCACGATGAACGTCAGTAATCGTCATAAAGCGGCCATAGTGTAGTAGGGCCACGAAACCATTAATCACACGCTCGTGCGTTCTGGTTTAACATGTTATATCGTTGGCACATTGTTATATGAGTTTTATGTGATCGTCATATGAACTCCCTATGTGCGTTTATTATGTATGAGTGTTGCTTATAAGAATGTTTAGAGGAATGAGCTATGCCCTTTTCGTCTGCAATAACTTATGTTACAACATGCCATATAACATGTATATATAACATGCACTCATGAACATGTATATATGCGTTACTAATATAGCGCGTTTAAGGTGCGTCGAAGAACTGTTCCACGTAAATCTTACGTTAACACGTTACGTGGGAATTAAGGTTTCGTAGTATTAGAACTTGATTATAAGTATTAGAGTTTGGATATTAGTAGTATTAGAGTTTGGATTAGAGTATATGTTTTGGACATAAACGATAGCGATAGAGTCAGGGTCATGGTCGCGGGTTAAAACAGGTAGTTTAGAACTGGTTTTCGGCGTTATACAGAGAGCGATCTACACTAAAAATCTGTGTTATATTACTTAAAACCCTAAACACAAAAAATATAAATAATAAAAGACATGCTACTGCATTGGGTTGCTTGGTGCATGTAACAATAGTAGGCAAGCTGCCCAGGCAACTAGTGTTGAAGCGCAGCATACACCCGAAGCTTTTTTGCCTAAGAATGTTAATGATACCAGCGTCAGTGTAATGAGGCAGTTATTATTAGTAAATAACCGCATCTGATATTAAAGCGACTGTGGTTTAGTGTGGTATAGCAGAGTATAATAGTAAACGCAACAACTGTTAGTGAAAAAACAGATCTCTAATAGTAACCCAGGGCCGTCGCAGGGAATTGACTAAATATTTAAGCCTAAGTCATGAGCGCGAAGCACCGTAAAGGGGAGAGTGTGTCAGGTGGTTTTCCCCCATTCTATTTGAAATGCTAACATGGCAAATGGTGTACGTTGCTAGTTTTTAAAATGAAATTTTAACATTGAAAACACAGTAAAAAGTACATTGCTTAACAAATAAACTCGTTTAATTCCATAATTTTTTTTTAAATGCGGAAATAAATGTTGACCCCGACCTTCCAAGCCTCCGCCTGTCAACGTGCCTGATAACCCAGCCAGCTAGCATGACCGCGACAAGCTGCTGCCGGTATCACGGCCAGGGGCACGCGTAAACGCGGGTTTTAGTTGGCACGGGACAGTGAATTAGTTGTATGTATTGTAGCTGTCTGTTAGGTGATAACCTCAAGCTCGGAATCGTAGCAGCGTAGCGTAACAAATGAAGGGTCCAAGGGAAAAACCCGAGATGTCAATATTTTGGTTTTTTGAGTTACCGGTAGATGTCTCTTCTGTAGGCCCTAAAGCTTCGATCCATTACGATTTACAGCGGAAAAACGAGTGTAGTCACTGTCTAGGCTGCATTCAAGTATTGGCGTCCAATGGAAAAATCCGAGATGTCAGCGTCGACCAATGGAAAAACACGAGATGTCACTACGTCACGTGATCAGATGAAAACGAAATGACGGATAATAACCATCCAAAACCCACAGATAAGCCTAAAAAACGGCCAAAAACAGGACGTACAAGGGAGAAAACCAAATTACAAAGGCTCAGTGGCCACGTAAGTGGGGAGGACTGTCGGTGCTCAAGACTTCAGTGCTTTGAGAAAGTTTCTAAGGAAGAAAGAGAGCAACTGTTATTAAAATTTAACGCAATTGAAACAAAAAGCGAGCAAGACTGTTTGATTGCATCAATGATAACAGTACAAAACGTTAAAAAACGACGACCAAGCGCCCCAGAGCAGCATGCTAAATTCACAATTATTATTCGTACCCAATATCACGTACCGTAAATCGTGAAGGGATTTCTCCAATACACGATGTTGTGTAACAAGCGTTGTGTTCTTTTCTCGGATATGGGCAATACACACTAGCAGAATAGAAACGCATTCAGAGCAATCACTTGCTCAACAGTCCAGTAGTGTTATAGAAATTACATCACCTGTTGTGGCCATTTTTATCAGCTGACCAGGTAAGATGTACGATGAAGATAGAAACGCCCAATATTGTGGGAGACAATGGGGCTAGAAGGTTGTGTCATTATATTTCTTGTCATTTAGTAAATAGTTTAATTGTTCCTTCCCATCAGTGCAATTATTGTGTCTCTATTTTATTTAAGCTGATTTAATGTGATTTGATTAAGTTTTCTGAAAAAAACTGATATTCTTTTTTAGGATTGCCACCAGAAGATTGTGCTCATATTAATAATAATAATAATAATACATGTATCATTATTGTATTGTTAATATTATTTGTTCTTTATTTTAGTGAGAACTTTATCATTAACTTTGAACTTCAGTGTGCAAGTGACCTTGACCTTTTGTGGCCAAGGTCAATGTTGTGGCGAACCTATGTATACGTTTTATGGTAGTAGACACTAGTGACACTTTGTCTTCGGAAGACATAGTATAATTCCACCTGCAGCCTTGAATATAGGTCAATTTCGTTCATAGGGAGGTCAGTTTCGTTCATAGGGGTCACACTTCAAGGTCAATGTTACAAATAAGGTCAAGCTCAAAGTCACTGTCCTTCCACCAAATGAAGGGCCTTTAATATTACTATGCTGTCCTAATTGTTTGAACTTATACTATTGCATCATTAAATATGCCGAGTCTTCAAACTTTCATTTGTTGATTACTAAAAACAATGAATAGGTGACATCTCGTGTTTTTCCCTTGGACCCTTCAACTGTGTAAAGGTGGTTGAGTGGAGTAGGGCAGTAGGTAGCCCGACCAGCAGGCTGTTTCACGTAGTTGCCATGTAGTGAGAAGTGAAAAGATAACTAGTAGGTCTCAGGGGAGAGATAGTGATCCGCTAGATTGCGCATTATTAGTATAAAATAAGTTGTGGATATAGAAATCAGTTAACCCTAACCCTATCCCTAATTCTAATATAAAACAAAATTAGCCAAAAATAATACAAATAAAATAAATAGGAGACCAAATTAGCCAATCTGAGCCGTCCCCTAGCGGACCACTATCTCTCCCTTGTGTACAATTCAAAGATAACTTGTGGCTTGGCACTAGGGCTTGTATATCAAATGCCTGTGCACGAGTGCGTGCGTCCTAACACACTTGGTCATCATACCTGTATGTGTGTCTGTACTGTGACGTCGTTTTGATACTAGGCTGTTTTCGTTATTTTTGTTTATTTATATCGACGGCTATTCTAGTCTCCGTGACAGGAATATCTTAGTTTGCCAAAATCTTGAGTACATGCACACGCTAACTATGGAGCTAAACAGGCTAGTGAAATAATGGATGACGTTAGAAATATATCTAGTTGAAAATTTCTTTTGTATGTATACCCTTGTGGATATCAATCGATAACATTACTTTATCAGCCAGTAGGTGACGCCAGTAGGTTTACACATACATGATATGCTCTGATGATAACCATTGATGATAACAAGAGTAGATAATAACACATCTAATGTGTTATTATCTACTCTTGATGATAACTAGGCACCATATTGCTTCTCTGTATACTGATATGACTATGAACGTTAGTACACTGAATATTGGGCTCGTACCTCCTGTAGCATTGCTACGGCAAATTATGGCTGATATCAATGGCAATAAACAATGGCATAGCTAGGATTTTTTCAGCAGGTGGGGCACTGGGGGGGGCCTTACATTTTCGTGGGGGTGGGCACAATTATATATAACTTTTCTTTGTATTATACTGTTCTACCGGCATTGTTTTTAATTCAATTTTTTTTTTATCAAGCATGAATTTTCAGTGGGGGGGGGGGCACCTGGGGGGCACAAAAAATTTGTGGGGGCCGCATACGTGCCCCCAGGCCTCCCCGTAGCTACGCCCCTGGCAATAAACTGTCATGGCTGCCCCACTTGGTTTGCAGCCGTTTCCTTAGCCTACATTCCACGTAGCATAGGGATCTTTCGTTCTCCCGTATAACAGGTTTTGTTAAAAAATCAGTGGCCTTGATAAGCTTTTTTACAGGATAATTTTGTCTTGGAGTGCCTTCATATCAAGTTGTGGTGCAGATTTCATTTCTGCAAAGTTTCTGGTTAACCAAATATCAATACCTGCCTTGCATTGAAAAAGTTCTCCTTCTCTATGTACAGTGTTTATAATCACATTGTATGTACGTATCTTTAGAACGTTGCACATTGCCTAACAATACGGTTTTGTTTTTTAGGACGACCACTAGGTGTCACTACTAGCAGTCCAACATGGCGCAGATCAGCACAGCGGTGTCAGACGGCGTTGTTGCCGCGACGGCGTATTACGTCGCCTACCACATCCTCATGAGCCACCTGGTGGCCAAGGTCGGCTTCCTCGTCATTGCCATCGCAGCGACGTGCGGTGCCGCGCGATACGGCATGCGCAGCCCGCCCTCGGAGCTCGTGCGTTACCACGAGCTGTTCACTTGGTTGAGCAGCGTCATGGGCGTGGCGTTCGTCGCGGCGATGTACATGTACCTCGCCAACATGCCGCTCGCAGGCCTCGCGCTTACCGCCACCTCACTGCTGCTGCTGCTGCTCTGGAACTCGCTCCCCACGGACGTCCGACGTCGGGCGCCAGAGGGCGCCGCGGGAGTGTCGCTCGTTTCGATCCTCGCCGTCAGCCTCATGCGGTCGAACCTGTACGGAGCAGCCGGCGCGATCGCTTACATTGTGTCCGCCGTCGTCGTAGGAACGACCGGAAGCATCTCCGGGTGGAGACGCGTCGACGTCTTCCATTACGGAATCGCGTTCGGAAACCTCGCGCTGTTTCTCGGAATGTATGGCGGATATCCGCCAAAGTAGAGGGCGCCGCTAGTGCTCGCGTGGACGCTGGCCTCCCGGCCGTTAACGGCCACGCGTAAATCGTGTTTACGAAATCGAAGTTTATCGCAAGTTGTCATCCGTGGTTCTAAATATCGGCGGGGAAATGCACGTCGTATATTCTGTGCACAGGCACTTGGAGCGTTTCATAAAAATATAATGCTAAATAAATAAATATGAAATCTATTTACTATCAAAGTAACATGTACATGTGTGCGGTGTACATGTGTGTTGCAGAGGAGCATTTGCACGGCATTTACAGGAAATTATCTGCAATAATATGCGAAAGAGAGTAGAAAAACATTAAGACTGGTAGTAAATTTATAGATTTCGTATTTATTTAGCATTATATTTTATTGAAACGCTCCAAGTGCCTGTGATTGTGTGTAGGTCGATTGATGGTGGTGAATCGTTTGTAACCGTGCCTCTCAATTCCAATATCTGTATGTTTGCGAAATACGTTGAGGAACTTGTTTTTCATATAAGTATGAAATTATTGGTCAGTCGGTTTTCTGGTGTAGCCGAAAGCGGAATGTGAAGATCCCGTTTAAAATAAGATTCCATGTTAATTACATGGAGACAGGGCTAGCACACTCTGTATGTTAATTGGTACTGATTGGCCACAGGGCTGTCATAAAGAAGAATGGTGTCTGAGCTCAAGAGTGTTTGTTCTTAGTGTAGTTCTCGTGTTTTTTATGTCTGAAATTTTACATTTTAATAGAGGATCCCAGTCTTGGACAAGGTAGAAGGTGACTCCATCGAGAAAGTGAGGTTGAAATGTAAATAACCATGAAATAAATGTACAGTAAACAGTAAACAAAGTTTGAATCTAGTTGGGTTTAGACCTCCCAGACCAATGTACATGTACTATTACATTGTCACTAGCCATTGACACACTGCATACGTTCAACCGCTTAGATCACCAAACGCGGGTGTGTTTGACCCTCCCCACAGGCTGTAGTTGACGGCCGTTCTAGCACGTGTAGGCACAGCATGCTACTATCATGAACCTATATACAAACATCAGGTGTGAATCAAAAACAAATTTCTTTCCATTCACATAGACATGTTTACGATAAACTTATTGGTAATTATGAATTCAATTGAAATTCTGTAGCGTACACATATTGTTGTCAGTGCTCGGTTCCGATGATAAAGGGTTTGTTCATTTTAAACCAAGCTTATCTGCATGGGTCTATCTACATGTTGTGTAAATTGATTACTAGTTTATTTGATGTATCCATTGGAAAGCAAACCTGCATAGTTTTTTTTAGGTCCTTTCATACCTGTTATTGTACATGGAGAGTAGCTAATAAAACATTATGTTACGTCTTCCACCCATCTCGGTGTATGATTTTCACTAGATGCCTACCCAGCAAGCAAATGACGTTGAAATAATGTTGAAACAACGTCGGGAGCCAACATTGAAACAGCGTTGAAAACTTGTTGTATTTGTTAGTTGAAACAACGTTTTATTTCCAACTTTGCAACGACGTCAGATTTCATCTTTCGTTTTATTCTCCCCACCGAGTAGGTGCTCCAGATAATTTTTGGATAGGATTAGTATTTACTCATCAATTTTCAAATGTATGAGTACCGGGTAGTTTGCCATGAGTATTCGCCAAGTGCGGTAGTCATCATTAGCACATCTGACGTAGTCAGATGCAGCTTGTAGAATCGCATGATCGTGAGTGCGTCAACAGTTGGGCACAAATCTTAACCGGGGGGGGGGGATCGTGAAAAGGACTCAGGATGACAAATTTGGGGGTCAAAGGTCAAGATGTGTAAACGGAGGGGGAATGTTTCCACCTTAACTTAAGGTATGGGAGGAAATACGGAATTGCGGCACAACTCTCAACGGCTCGACCTACGCTCTTAATATTCGATGTATAGTGTGATGGGGAGGAAACCCATCACCAGCGTGAAATTTGAGGTCACAGGTCAAAGGACAGTGGGGAAAGGTCAGATATCAGACATTTTCTTAGAACATGGTCTAATAGACCGAGTGCAAAACTTTTTTGTTTCAGCGCTGACCTACCGTTTTTATCACTTTATTTAAAAGACCATAAAATCTACTTTCCGCTGACGTGCGAAGAGTAAGTGTCTGATAACCTTTTGACCCTCAAGATCCAAACATGGATTTGTTGACTGTTAACAAAGGACCACTGCTTTTGCTATTAGAGTCCCCCCACTCGCCCCCCTCTCCCTCCACCCCTCCCACCACCCTACCCCTCC